GCTTCCTATACCTCAAGCTGAAAAGCCTCATTCTTCCTGAGCATGGAAACAGCTCCATGTTTGTGTTTAGTCTTTATTACCACTATACATAGCTAATTCTTCTAGATCTGTTTCAAAATTAGTTGAAGAGAATTAGAGGTGTTATTGAAGATGGAGGGACAAAAGGTATTTATACAATGTCATAACATATTCTTGGGTTTTTTGCATTTACCTCCTAATATATCCACGGTCTTTTAACTATCGCTGGTCAATAAGTCACAGAACCATCCACAGTAATTCTAACATCTCTTTCCCAAGCATAATTAAGTCCGTCATTAGGTATATGCTGTCAGATCGATCTTCTCAACAAACACTACCTTACGTCTCTCAGAACTGAACTGGCTTGCTATTTTGTTGCCCCATCACTTAGTGCTTGTGTTTCTCACAGTCAGCTTTTGGTCTTGCTAACTGGAAATATGTGTCAGCGCTTTATTATTCACCCTCTGCTCCAGACAGCACGAACTTGGAACAGCAGAGACCCCAGCATGCATTCTCCAGAGGACTCCAAGAGTAACATACCTGTATCCTCCAATCTTATTTTTTTCTTCTTTGAAACACCAAGTGTTTGCTTGGTTTTTTGTTTGTTTTTTAAGAAAGAAACCAGACATACCTTATTAGTTAAATCACCTTTATCATAGAGTCGTCTAGGTTGGAAGGGTCATCGATCATCGAGTCCAACCATCAACCTAACACTGACAAAACCACCACTAAACCATGTCCCTAAGCACCACGTACACCCATCTTTTAAATACCTCCAGGGATGGCAACTCTAGCACTTCCCTGGGCAGCCTGTTCCAATGCTTGATAACCCTTTTGGAGTACAAATTTTTCCTAATATCCAACCTAAACCTCCCATGGTGCAACTTGAGGCCATTTCCTCTTGTCCTATCACATGTTACTTGGGAGAAGAGATCGACACCCACCTCTCTACAGCCTCCTTTCAGGTAGTTGTAGAGAGCAATAAGGTCTCCCCTCAGTCTCCTTTTTTCCCCCCGACTAAACAACCCCAGCTCACTCAGCTGCTCCTCACAAGACTTGTTCTCTAGACCCCTCAACAGCTTCGTTGCCCTTGTCTGGACTCACTCCAGAATCTCAATGTCTTTTTTGTAGCAAGGGGCCCAAAACTGAACACATTATTCAAGGTGATCATTCATTCATTCATTCAAAAAACATGGGCAGATATATAGGCAGGACTCCCTGCTGCAGAAGACAACTGGACTCCTCTCTATCATTGCCTTTATTCCTGTGAACAAATATTGATTTTTTTTTCTTTTTTTTTTTTTTTGTTTTAATAGTTTCTACCAAAGTGCCTAATACACAAACCAGGCTCACTATTCGTTTCTACTTTCCCAAAAGCTCCATGGGGCCCTCTTGAAAAGCCTGACACGTTTACTGCTTTTCATTCTTCCATTCTAAGGCCAATTTACGCAATGATTATACACAACCGTGTGTAACTCAGCAACTTCACCACTGAGTTCTTCACAAAGTGAGAACTTTTCCTAGCAATTCATTGTGCCGATTTGCTCCAAAACGTCAACCTTCTGTCAGCTTCCCCCAGCTTGTCCCCCAGAAAGGAAGGCTCCACGTGGGAACCGTGCTGCAGTGAATAGCAATGCAAATAACTTCTCTGCTACGGCTTTACCTTCCCTTAGCTCACATGGAATATTATGATCATCTATCAGCCCATCGGGATCTCTGGCAGGCATTCTGCTTTTGACAGTTAGACAAAAAGCTTTATTTTTTTTTTTTTTTTTATGCCTTTATAAAGTTGTTCCTCAACATTTTTTGGCCTACCTCATTATGGTTTATATTTAACTTGCCAAAGTTAATGCTCTTTCCTATTCTCCTCATTTGGATACAACTCCTGCTTCAGAAAGATGACTTATTTCTAGGAGCCTTGTTTACTTTACTGTTTAAAGCCAGTCCCTGTTCATTTTTGTGGCTTTCCTTCAATCTCTTATTTCCTCTCCCTTCTTGGACTTTCACCATCAAACTAGACACGGTATTCTCGAAGTCTTGGGTTGTGGGGTTTTGGGGGGGTTGGGGTTTTTAATTTTAAGTCAGTACTACACACAAACTTTCTCAACCTATGAACCTATATGAACCTGAAATAGCATGTCAGCTGTGATCTTTTGTTGAGATTACATGAGGCTTTCCCTGTATCTGTTTCCAAGACAAGTTTTTCTGTCTTGACGGTATAATCTGCATTTGTTCCTCCCAGATGTCTTATTTCATATTGGATATATCAACATATATTTTGTTGGACCGTGGCCATTTAAATCAGGCAATCCAGATTTTTCTCTAAAAGTAACCAATCCTTCATTTAGTACTCTCCAGCAAGCGTATCATCTGCACATTTAACCTAGGATTTTTTTCCAGCTAGGATTATTGACAAAGGCATCAAGCATTGCTAGAATGAGAACTGATTGACCGAGGATCTCATAAAAAAACCCTCACTTAGTCTTTCCTTACCAGAAACCACATTTTGAGATTTCTCAGGGCATTGCTCTTTAACCTGTCTAGTGCTTGCTTATGCTTGGTAAAGTCTGAACTCACATTTTTACCATTAAAGAAGCACTTACCAAGAAGAGTTACATCCTCTGAAAAATATTTATTCTATCTCAACTATTTCCATCATATTTTGCCTATTTACATTTTAAAATGCACTAGAAAGTCAGGAACCTTTAGAATGGGAAAACATTTATTCATTTCATTCATGCTTGAAAACAGCCAAACCAACTTTATACAAATAATAAAAAAACCCAACAAAAGTAGACATTTTGCAGCGAAGACTAAGTCTGAAAAATGTCAGCCACAGAGATGTTTTCCTAATGATATGAAGAACTGAAAGCAAAAGTTAGAATAAAAGAAATCATGTAGCTCAAATTCTTAAATCAACAGGCAAGCTAATTTGGCTTTAAGAGTTCTAAATATATAAAGTTATGAGACCTGGCTTGGTAATATTAACTTTGCATAATTTTTTGAGTATGAGACAAGTTTCAGAAGAGAACGACTCAGAAGTGTAGTATGGAATTCTTTGCAAAACTACTGGTCAGCCAGTAGTTCCTTACACCAATCCTAGGTAAGATAGTGAAGTGTCTGACACTGAATTCAATTAATAAAGAATCAAAGGACATCCTGGAAAAAAATGTCAACCTTACTAAGGTTTAGGCTTCACGTTAGAGAAGCAACTGAATATAAATCCCCAGCTGCCTTTAGAACTATGAATATGACTTTTCAATGAGAACAATCACCTAGTAGATCACAGACAAGTTACTACCTCTTTGCACGGTATCAGTTCAATGCAGTTAGCTGCTGGGAGAAGGGGAGTGAACACTGATTTGTAAGTAGCTACTGAGGGAGTGAATAAATAACATTCTGTGATGAATTTACTGGAAGAAAATATCACGTCCTGTGTCATGAAACAAATCAGGATAAGGGAACATTAACGGTATTTTTCTGGCCTTAACTGTACTAAACAGTCTTCCTTCTTCCGTGTATATAATTTACTTCTGCAGAATCAATACGTAACAACAGCCATGCCTTGGAAAAGGCAATTACAGTTCAGCTGCATAAAGAAAGGAAGGCTTTAACTTCAGGCATCTTACCGCAGTTATATTACCCTATATTCCTCTTTTATACTATTTACATTTAATATGTATACAAACACAGGTTTAAAAGCACTCAAAGTTCTTAAAAGAAGAGGATGATAATGTATCTACCTTCGTTTCTAGTATTTATTTATATTCTAAACAGAGTTCCAAAATTCACACAGAAGACAATACTGATAATTGTTTGTTTTACACTGGTGATGGAGAACATAACCTCAACACTTAGTGTTTTGTTTTTAAGGCCTGGCTGTAGTATGTGCTGGTTACAAGGCAATGACATTTTTATTTTCAATTTTTAAAGTTTGCAGATATCACGTTTGCCAATAACAACAAAGAAAGAAGATACCACCAGTTTCAGGCTTGCTCTGAAGGCCACGGTCATGCAACCTAACCTCTGTATATGCAAGTCATGGAAACTTCCTCCTCAAAAAGAAATAAAATATCTTTTAGAAAAGTGTCCGTTGTGATAAGAAGTCCACAATCTCTTTCGCCAAAGAGATCACTGCACTAGAGCATCTTTTCCACATGCATTAAAAACTTGCACAAAGGTTAAATAACCATTCACTCAAATTTTCCATTTGATGAGCTGAACTGAAATCCTTGAGCCTTCAACAGTATTATGTTTTGCAAATCTATCTTCTTAACTGTCTTCCAGCAATTCTACAAACTTCTTGAAATGCAGAAGCCACATGGCGCATTAGAAAAACCTATAAGCCAAATGTAAAGGTAAGTTTTGCTTCACCTGTTAGCATTCCATTCCTCATTTCTGACAGCCATCAAACGGTACTGTAACTTTCCATCCTTTCAGAGGGAAATAAATTCTGAAGAAACTAGTAACACTTCAGCTAACAATAACTTCACAACACAGTAAGATGCACAACTTGTTAATGACATGGCTTTGACTCTTTGGGAAACACTGTTGCAAAGCCTCCGTGTACCCGAGAGATGCTTTACCCTGTTCTCCCAACAAAAAACAAACCACACTTTACTACTCCAGATAACTTAATCTGTCACTTTACGACCTAACCCTCCTAAGGATCGCATCATTTGATACCAGCAGTGAGCTTGACCACACATCTGTATCAGGCACTGACAATGTAATTTGTTTTATTATTCAACACACAGAACTCTTTACTCTTTGAGCAGGCTCAGTGTCAGACTAAAATCAATTAAGCCATTGCCACTGACCCCTCAAATAGCCCAGAATTTCAACACCAGTTTCCCCTTCAACCAATCAAGTGACAGAGTAATGACAGTTTTCAAGCCACTCTCTGCAGATCACCCACCTTGAAGGATGAGAAGTCATCAGGGAAAGAGGGGAAAAAAAACCCCAGTAAAGTAATTACTTACTTTGGGAAGATGACAGTCATGAGCGCTGACGCATAACCAGGCTTGCACACTCCCTCAGAGATATTTGCATACTTTGATGCCAATTCTGGAGGCCTGAGGAAAAAAAAAAAGTAGAGTCAGAACTCTCTTGGATATTTTTTTCCTTATAGCTTCACTGAAAAACAGCTGTAATAATAGCAAACACACACAGGTATTTATTTGTTGCAATATAGCATCACAGGCAAACAACAAAGGTTAGGGTTAAAGATACCTGAAATACCACTAAACCAATAGTTTTGCTGAAATATTTTCATACCTAGGAAGGTAAAGCTCATGGAAGAAAAAACACCATTTCAGACTTCAGCCTTTCAAAATGAAGGAAACAAACAGCACTTTGCCTTGGCTATTCTTCTACAGTATGATCAAAGTTAAAATTACAAAGAAGTATTATTTATAATAATATTTAGAAGATACCTTTCAAGCATTTGAAACAAACTGCTGAGCAGTTTTGACAGGCTATCATCAAGGGATGTTTGCTTTCAGTATTTAGAATAGATGACATTGCTGCTGTTCTGTTGAGATGCATCTTATTTCAGCTTGCCTAGTGATTTCAGGGCCAAATTTATAATAGTGGAGGTTCTTTCATTTAGTTTTTGTACAGAAACAAGATTAGCAACCCAAGAAGAGATATTTAAGTCCAATACATACTTACAACATAGATCTTCTAAGTGACTTGGAAAAAAACATTTAACTTTATTTGTGCCCCTATTGACCACCTGCAAAATTTTTACATTCATCCATTTCTCAAAAACATTACAAGGGTTAACTCACTTGTGCTTTCAAGGTAATATTAGATACCTTAATGTCAGTCACAGTATGAGAATTATTAATATTCTTTCAAAAAAAATGCATTTACAGTTAGATGTTCAAGGTTCAGTAGAAGTTGCAAGTGTTAAGTGCAAGTGTTACAGCAAAGAGTCAATCGATAATATTGTATTTGCTACACCATTTTGTTAAGAGTAGGCAAGTAATAAAAGGTTTTTTCCTATAGGTCAACAATAGGAGTAGAATGAAGATGACAGTACAGATCTGTATAGTAAATCCACAAAAATAATTTTGAAGAGCCCATGATTATCACAACCATGCTTGCTTTTCCATGTGTCACTAACATGTACATCACCAGTATCAGTTAACTAGCAAACGACTGCTAAATGTAATGAGCATCGATTCAGAGAGTTTCAAGTGAGCGGACTCCTGAGCTGATGCCGAGGTTCCTGGAGGGATTGTGAGCAGTGGCAAAATTACGACCACGGCTGGCAAAATTACGTATCTGAATGACAGTAACTTCAGGTTGAACTGGTGGTAACTATCCTTCTTGTACTGGCCCTGGAGTCTTTGCCCAAGAGATCACTAGCCAGTAGATGGACAATTAATTTTTACATTTAGCTGGATACGGTAAAAGACCTCCTACACACATAGTTCCCAAAGAATAAAATCTTTTTCTGCTGACCAAAAATCTGAACCCTCAACATCTGGAAGAGGAAATAAACTGGAGAAAACAAAAACTCACTAAGTACTTAACTTCTTAAGACCTTTGCAGATGAAAAGCACTGGAAAAAGCTTATGAGCATTGATCCGATTCTAATTCTGCCACAGATTTCCTGCGTAGTTTTGGTCAAAACATGTAATATTTTACTATCGCAATTCTTCATCCATACATTTGACTATTTACACTGTGGATTATTTACAGCAAAGTTTAGATTTTTCTAAATATATTATATAGACGTGGAGAGATAGACACAGGTGTAACATTGTCTAGCACAACCCAAATCCATGAGCTTGGTTTCCATAGGTGACACTGTAACACATATCTCTAAATGAGAGACATGAGAAAGCATCTAAGACATGACAATCTAGAAGTCTGAATCCTGAAGACTTTCACTGAATGATTTGTGTTCCGAGTCCAGTCAGACTGGACAGGAAGGAAGGGCCTGTTGCTGACAAAACAGAGGGTTTTAATGGTGCTAAAATGTATATCCCCTTCTGACAGTCAGAAGGGACAGCAGGGTGTACAGATCACAGCTTGTTGCAGCACTTCAGATATGAAGAAATGTGGGAAATCTGAATCTTTATCAAACAAAACTTAAGTGTTGCTGCATTTTTATTGTTTAAGCAATATACAGAAACCCCTAATCCCAAAAATCTTCAAAATCAAGTAGAAAGCAACTGGAATTTATCTGCAGCCACCACGACAGTGAGTCATTGCTGGCAAACTTGTATAACTATTTCAACAGCAGGCCCTTCTCAAATGACCTCAGTGGTCACACAAAATATCTTGTGCCACAAACACAGGCATTTTTCTCTTTTCTGGTTTAATGGCGCTTTCATTATCAAATTAAAATGTCACTCAGATGCCCATCATGGCATTCGTGCAAAAGAATAGTGGGCTGAAACCCTCCTGCATTGGAGTCGCGCAGGACGCCAATCAGTGCCGCACGCTGATGGCGGAGCTGTCAATTACAAAACCCACAAAGATATTCAGAGCCGCTAAAGCCTGAGGGGCCAAGCTGTGAACATTTCTTGGATGTGATGAAGTTCATGATCCAGAGTGCCAGAGGCAGAGCAATTCTCGTAAGCCAATTGTAGCTGCCACCTCCTATCATTCAGCATTTGCTCATCTCCTTTCTTCTAGCCACGTATTGAGCCAGCAGGCTACAGAAAACTAGAAACAGGCACTCTATATTTCAGATCCATCTAGGGACACGTTTTATTTGTACGATTTCTTTGGATTACACATTACACGCTGTCACTGCCAGCACGCTCATAACATCAAGCCTACATTAGGTGTAACTCAAAGCAAAACATCTAGAGTAAGGCTGGATACAGCCCCACTGTCTACCATCCTGCTACTTCATCAACCTATTCAAGCTAACGTGATTTCAGATATATAAATATGCTTTCTAGTGTTGTTTTTTTTTTTTTTCCTGCGAGACTCACAGTTCTCACAGAGCTTGCTGTTTCATAAATCAGACTGCAAAACATCCTACATGAAGCATGACATAGAGAACTATAAATTTTTCAAACAAATCCAGCTTTGTAAAATCACACTGTTGTTAGTAGGTACAGTTCTGTAACAAAAAAGTACAGAGAAACAAAGTTTATGAATAAGCACCTCTTCTATATCTGATGACAGTGTACCTATTACACTGCTGCATGTATTGTTACTTCTTTGATTATGTTTCTTATTTCCAAATGGCAGAAGTACTGTAACTGAAAGTACATTCTGCCAATGCTGCCTGACAAATTACCAAAGCACGGTGCACAGCATTACAAGAGCTTATGCTTGATTCTCATTTAATAATCCTGAACGCTGCTTACAACAGATGGGTTAAGAACTATGCAGCAAACTAAACAATATTACTTTCCTAGGGCTTTACTAGTAAATAGCTTCATCTCACTAGGTGCATCACTGTGCCTGGAATCCAAGGATCATACGGAAGGCTGTTGTGATAAGCCAGCCAGGGCAATCATGACTGTTACAGCACGAAGGTGCACGTCTCCTCTACATCTTCCAGGTCCAAGCACATCCACTCCAGCCCCTGACCCCCATGCTCCCAGTTGCAGTGAAAGCATCAGCTGGGTTGAGGCAGTTAAAGAGCTATCCGACACAGCAGAAAGGATGCCATTAGATGGATTTTAATCCATCTTTAATTTTACTCAGATTTTGTGCAGGAAAAAAAACAGTAAAATAATAAATTTATTCAGAATAAGTGAGGGACACAATCCATAGTAACTGTAAACATCCACAGTTTTTATACAAGTGCCTGCATGAGGGTGAAGTTAAAGGAAAGAAATTGGCTTATTCCACCAAAAAGATAATGCACTCTTCCTTTTTTTTTTTTTCCCCTCCTGATTTTTCTCCTGTGAGACTAGCACACACCCTGAATTCTTATGATTTTCTGTGCTTCTCTACACTTTTATGTGGACATCAATCTTAACAAAATTTCACAATTTGGATAAGTTAAAAATCCAGCTGCTTTCAGAGGATTTAGAAAAAGTAACAAGATTTTTCCTTCTGCTTGCATTTGGCAGATGTGTGTCTTCTTTTAATCTCAAATATGAAAACGTCACCATGGTTAATTCCTTCATCATGTCTTGATCAGGGACAGCATGTCATCCTCATAGGACTGGAATCTAAATCCATTTAAGAAAAGAAATTAGTAATACAAACTCAAGTATATTTGACTACTAAAAAAAAAAAAAAATACGCCCGCAACTAAGCTCTTGTAATTGAATACTGCAAAAACTACTTTAAGAGACAGATTTTGCTGCTTTGGCTTCCACATGGAATCTAAATTGCGGATTGTAAAAATTGAAAAACTTTATCTGCTTGAGATAATCTTATTTGAGGACTGCTTTATCTTGCTGTTATCTTGCACACAAAATATATTGCTACATTTCTGAAACAAGGAAAAGGAGTTGTTTGACAGCATGCTCTCTAGATTCACCCTTTGTCTTGGGTCAATCTTCTTTCTCTTTGGTCCAAAATAAACTGATTCCTACCTATACAGCAGCTCTACAAAGTGTATGTCATGGTACCTGAAGAATGAATAGGAGACGTGACGAGAACATGAAATGAAAGGCACATAAAACATAGTGGTTATTATGAAGTACCAATGAAACAATATTAGCAAGCAATTTGGCAGATGTAAAAAGGGCAGATCACTAAATCAAAGCAGTTAATGCTGAGACCCCATATTTACACCATGTGAGATTCAAGACATTTTATTTTAGACAGGACTCCAGTCAGGTTCCCTGGGCCAGATCTATCTATCACATACATAGATATACACGGCTCAGCGTTGGCCAAAAGGCCAAGTTTTAGTTTGGACTCCTAGGACCCCAGTTAAATATTGTTGCATTTTGTAGACTCCTGGAATAAAGCTTCAGTTTTACTTCCCCCAAGTAAGTCCAGAGCTACATTTCAAACCCAGTTTGTGAACTCAATCAGCATACAGTAAGAAACCGTTATGGGATTTGCTTCAAAATCGCAGGACTTCTCCAAACAAGATGCTCACGAAGACACAACCAGAGTGGCTAGGGTGTACATTTAT